CGTCCCATTTACAGCGCAGGTCGGGAATAACCTGAATTTCAGGTGAAAGATTGGTTTTTAATTAATGAAGCAGAAGACCTGAGAGCACCTTACTGTGACCTCTTAGAATACGACTGTTCAAAATTCCGCCCTACACATCTTCAGTATTCAAGGTAAATATACAATAACTGAATACGTATTTTTGTTATCATAGATTTTTCTGTGAGATGAAGAAAGTTTCAAAAAAGTTATTAGAAAAAGTGTGTAGTTGATACTGGGATTTAACATTGTGAAAGATAGAATTTTGGTTTGTTTTGATAGGTAAACTACATTTTTCACGGCGTAAACATACTGAAAATTTTTGCTTAGTATTTTGTATTATTACGTGTTTGGCCGAATCGTGTAGAGCATTATATTTTCATGAAACACATTCTTGTTAGATTCATGGTTCATATTTTTAAATCACTAAAGTATGATTTTTTTTTCAACAAACACACTGCTGATAGATTCATAGCTCATTTATTGAAAATCGATGTGATATACATTTCCTAGGAAAAAAAGGAAAAGATTAGATATTTTACAGTTTTGATACAGCATGTCGAAAAGGTGATAATATTGTCAATTTATTCGCAAACCTATTAACGTAAACCTATGGTTGCTATTCCAGTAAAAAGATTATTGCGCATAAAGATCATCCTTTTTTTTTGGCAAGAATGGCATACACATATTTCATAAATATATTTTTAATTTTTGTTAGATTTAATCAAATTAGTTCCAGAATTTTTTACTTCTATTTAGTCAGTGAATTGAACAACTCTCCACAGCTAGGGACGTTATTGATGAAAGGATAAAGGCAAACATGACTGTACGAAAAGCAAACTGTTTCTTATTTGTTGATATTTTTCAATAATATTTGTTGCAAAAAGGTTGAACAATTCTTGTGAGGTCAATATTAAGAAAAAGGAAAAATCAGCATCATTTAATGCGCGTTTTTTGTTGTCAATAAACTTGAATAATCCTTATTAGGCCTACATTTTAAAGAACTTCTTGACGAGATAAAAAGTGTGGTTTGAGTTGGTTGATAAGTACAAAATCTCTTTAGCCGAAGCTGCTTTTGGCGTAAATGCTCAAAATAAAACGATATGATTTGACCGCAATTTAAAACTGTTAAGACGGATCAGCTTGATGAGGCAGTAACATCTTGAAAACAAGCTATTCAATGCGACATGCTCACAGGGAACTTTCAGTAAATATCAATGATCTAAGTAAAGTTACCGGGCTTTTAATTAAAAAATGCTTCATCACCTTTTAGGCAGCTGTCGAGATATTTTTTAAACTGAAGTGATGATTATAAATCTTTAACGAGAACTGCGGTCAATTTTGTACACTCTCGAAGCTTTCAAAGAACGTTTTCGTTGAACTGCCGCGAGGGAAGAAAAAAATTAAGTTATATTTCATTTATTTCTCAATGAAATGACAATTTTTCTGTTAAGGTGGCTCATAGCAGTTTCTCCAGGTTAGTCTGTTCATGGAAAGATCTATTTTAACAATACATTAAACGGCTGTTGCTAGGAAATAATATGAGACAATTGTCTGATCATTTGCAAATAAGTCATCAATAATTATTTCCTTGACGTAACAGCAAATTACCATAGCAGCAGTAAAAAACTGTTGTTGCACCTTCAATTTTATCTTAAACATCACTTTCATTCATATGCAACTGCTTAGATCACTACATTTATAATATTTCGGGGTGACTATATAAAGATAGTAGTGTAAAGTTTTTACTGGAAATACTTGAAAAGAATTCAAAGCCACCACGCTGAAAAGGAGTCACAGCCACCTCATGAAAAGCCAATAAACAGTATTTATCTAATAAGTAAATAACGTGATAATGGAACAAAAGAAATTTTGGTCAACCAGGTAGTGTTAGAGACGTTACGTCAAATATCGCGCTTCTCCAACACTTAACGATTATTCTTTGAAATCGAGGTGAATAGTGGCTAAATATTTACCGAGCCGCGAAAGCGGCGATGTAAATATTCCCATAGCCACTGTTCACCGAGATTGAAAAGAATAATTGTTTTAGTATATACACACGAAGTGATCTCAACAAAATCAGAGAGGAAACCATTAAAAAGTACGATTTGATTGACAGCTCAAATCACGCGTAAATTTAAAAATAGATCTTTCCAGAATTTTCAAACATGGCAATTCACAAACAACAACGTAATGGCTTAAATCGAACCGCTAAAAGTTCGAACTGTTTCCTCACCTGAGAAAAATAGTAGAGCTTTAGTGTTTTCTGTTGACTCGCCAAGTTTATAGCCAAAAGGGTTTGTTGTGTCGTTCAGTTTGCATGAAGTGCTGACAAAAATGGCTGATCGGTTGCTCGAGGTAAGACGTTGTCTTCCTGTATCATTCTTTTTCCTGTTTACCTGAAACGTAGAATTTCTGCAAAAATTTCCTTTTAAATTTGTTTGCCATAAATAAACTTCGATTTTTGAGCCTTCTTCTACGCGAATACAAGGGAGTTGTAAACAATCCATCGAGCACAAAACTCAGCTACCGTAAATTGAAAAACGCCGTATTGAATCCTTCCAAGTCTTTTCTTGCCTTAAAAAAGTCAGTCCTAGGATTTTGTCGACTTTTAAAAGATCGTTCCCTAAAAAAATAGGAAAGACACCGACCTCACACATTATCCACTCGCTAGGAGGTGAATATTGTTGAATAGTCCGAGATAGCGAACCAACCAGATTGCTTAAATCACCAAGATCACTGAGTGTCTATATACTAAAAGAATTTATCTGTAGCTATAATATATTGTTACAGTTAGTTTACCTATAGTCTACCAATACAAACGTCACTCCTCGCTCTCCGCAGCTAGAGATTCAAAGGCTAGTTGAACTGAAAATCCCCAACTGCCAGTATTTTCTACGCCATTCTTTCATGATGTGGCTCAATGAGAGATGCCGGACAATTTAAAGGTTGAGGGAACGTTAGGGCATATATAACAAGCAATTTTTACATGGTCTAGCACGAAATGTATCGTGCACCACCAAATGACGTTATAACCGGCAGTCATGTGATTAACTGAATCTGTTCTGCGGCAAAATTATCAATCCTCTCTCACTTGCAAAGAATGGTCGACTCTCAAATGCTTGGTAATTTTTTGCATCATGTATGCTGTTTTTAACGCTGCAAATTATTATAAACGTGATGTAGACGAATGAATGGCACTGATAGCTAAAATTGATACTTCTGCCAATCTCTCTCTCTACCTCTCGGGATAAGAGTATCTATATGCATTCAGCATAAAAAATATTACGTCATTACAGCCCAATATACGCCTATTTAGCGGCTTGTTTTTAATCATCGACATGGTAAGAGATCATTCTCTACCAAGGAAACCGTGAGAAGAGGAGGCCTAAAGAGGAGCAATCGCCCCTTGAGGCACTTATTAAGGAATATTTACCTTTAATCTCTACAATAGCCGCTGAAATGCTCATTGAATAATCCTTCAAATTATTTTCTTCACTCATATGATATGGGAGGACAAAGAAGCCGGTTCTCGAGTGTTTCATTAACATGTCAGTGTCTTCGCGACTTAAACTTTAATTTGCCAACAGCAAAGTAACGCAGTGGAACCCCGCCTTACGGCCACCTCGGTAATACGGTTAACTCGTTATTACGGCCTCATTGTTTTGGCCGCATGGCAAAACTACCATACTTTTTCTTTAAAAAAAAACCTCGTTAATACGATCACCAGTTAATAACGCCAATTTTTTTTGGCCCACCGGTGACCGTATTAACGGGGTTCCTCTGTACATGTAATCACGGTACTGCAGTGATTTTGTGTGAAAGGGTAACTAATAGCCGACTATTTCTAATGCAAACTGCTCTCTTTCGCGAGACGTACGTGATATCAGCATTTTGCCACACACATTCAAAAAATACTAGAAAATAAAGGAAAAATGCATTTTGTGCTTATTGACATCTAAAGTGGGGTAAGAACTCGTAAAAAAACTTTATCCAAGTTATAAAAACGAGCTCTTTCAAACACACCTGGACCCTGAAGTGTAAAAGCACTAATGCGTCTAGTTTCGCTGCCGCCAATCATAACTACGATCACAAGCTACGAACCTTGAAACACAGAAACACACAAGACGGATCGATATCCTCCAATCACAAATCACAAACCATGACCTTTTGAACCCGTTGAAGTAAATTTTGTTTTCTAAGAGGTCCGCTTAGATGATGTCCTTTTGGCGGAGAGTCTCTTCATTGAATCTTGCTAAAACCTCTCTACAATGGCCGCCTCTTCACAACGGCCACTTTCTTATGCCCCCAAGGTGTATCCCAAAATTCAAGGATCCCATTGAATGGCTTGGTCCTGTAAAAACCTTAAATCTGATGCGCTAGAAAGGTTTAAAAAGAAGGCTGTTTTCTTATGGGTGCGTTTTTTTGTGAAAATCCAATTTCCGAATCCAAAAACGGATTTTGGTTTTTTTTTAGGCAAATCCAAAAACGGATCATGAATCCATAAAATCCACCCTCAAGGTGGATTCTACGGATCAAATCCCAATCCGGATTTTTGAGATTCACAATCTGAGCGTATTGCTAGACTGTTTTTAAACCCTTACTTGTCATGTTTTTTTCCAACTAATTGAAAAAACAATTCCTCGGCTTCAGTTTTAAATTCTTATAATTTTACTATCCTAAGGAGTGTATTCTATTCGAGAAACATTTGTCTCATACATTTCGTACATTCATTCGTAGCTTACGTTGCTTTTTCTTCTTGTCTTCGCCGTGAGAATCAGTTTGTTATTGTTATTTTTTTCCACGAGGAGCACGAGGACATGCCGTTGTCACGGTAAATGATCCTTTTTCGGATCTTCCGTTTTGTGGTACTGAAGAATCCGTGTGATCGGAAATCACAAATCCGTTTTTGGATTCTCCTAAAAAAAACGCACCATATGTTTGTCTTTTTCGCAGGTGTTGGCTAGACGTCAGGTCTGAAC